GTGGAGCAGGTTGTCAGGACTGGGGATGCAGAGGGTGAAGGAGGGCACTAGAGGGTGGGAGGTGGGTGAGGCAGGCAGGCTGACTCCTGGGTTCATGGATTGCCTCCTTCCTCCAAATTCATTCTTACCCTCAGAGTCCAGCCCTACCCCCAATCCCATGCTGGAATAGGCATGGGCCCCTTGACTTCAGACCCTGGACTGTCTGGGGACATCCTGATCCTCTCTACAGAAGGAGAGGTTGCTCACAATGTTAGGGCCCCTGTGAGGGTCAAAGGGCTACACCTTCATGGGGATCTCTCTATCCTAGGCACCACCTGTAATCTACTATGTCCCTGACTTCATCTCCAAGGAAGAGGAGGAGTATTTGCTTCGACAGGTGACCCTAATGCCCTTCTGGTCTGTTTCTCCCTCTTCCCATATTCCTCCCCAACCCCCAGCCCCATATGAGAGCCCCCAAGGCTGCAGTGAAGACCCTGGCAGAAAGGAGAGTGCCACACAGCACCCACTCCCCACCATCTCCTTCTCTCTCTCTTAGAACCTGCTAGGGCCTATCAGAAAGAACTTTTTTTTAGGAGGCTTAGGTGAAACCAAACTGATTCTTAGGAAGGAGGTGGTTATATGCAGCTCAGACTCCTTGTACTGAGATAGCCCAGTACAGCCTCCAAAATGAGGATGTTGTTGAGATCAGATTCCCTTTATTTTTTTATTTTAATTTTTTAATTATTTTTTTAAAGATGACCGGTAAGGGGATCTTAACCCTTGACTTGGTGTTGTCAGTACCACGCTCTTACTGAGATAGCCCAGTACAGCCTCCAAAATGAGGATGTTGTTGAGATCAGATTCCCTTTATTTTTTTATTTTAATTTTTTAATTATTTTTTTAAAGATGACCGGTAAGGGGATCTTAACCCTTGACTTGGTGTTGTCAGTACCACGCTCTCCCACGTGAGCTAACCAGCCATCCCTATATAGGGATCCAAACCTGTGGCTTTGGTGTTATCAGCACCACCCTCTCCCAAGTGAGCCACGGGCCGGCCCTTGAGATCAGATTCCTTATGCAGGAATAGCCCAGCACAACCCGAGAGTCTCAGGAACAGGGAAGTTATAGAGCTCATACTTCCTCTGCTGAGGTAGCCCAATCCTGCTATCTTAAAGAAAAGGTTATAAACATAGGCTGAGATAGCCCAGTTTAGAGCCTTGAGATTGGTCAATTAAGAATTTAGTATTCAGATTTCTGTGCTGAGATAGCCCATTGTGTAGAGTAAACTCTCCCTGTGCTAAGATAGCTCAGCATAGACCCAGATGTTTAGGAACAAGATTACCAAGCACAGATCGCCTTTGCTGAGATGCCTAGTCTGTATTCTATTCTTAAGGTTTGGGGAAAGAAGAATTTACTAAGCTCAGAGTCCCTGCACTGGGATAGCCCTTTGCAGCCCTAGAACCTTAGTTACAGAGCACAGGTCTTCCCTGTGCTGGGGCAACCCATCTGAGCTTGAGTCCCAGGAACAAGTTAGCTACAGAACACAGACGTCTGTGCTGAGATAGCTCATTCCAGACCTTTGGATTCTTGGGATTGAAAAAATTTATGTATTTTAGAATCCCTGGTCTGAAATAGCCCAGTCCAGCCCCATAACTATGAAGGGAATAAGGAGATTATCGACAGAGTATAGACTTCTTGGACTGAGATAGCCCATTCTAGACCCTTAGGATTTTAGCAGTGGAGGATTTTCAAAGTGCTTTATTTGCTATGCTAAGATGTCCCAGCTTAGCACATTCCCTCCCCCAGGAGATAAGAACAAGGAGGTTCCAGAACTCAGACTGTCCTCAGGTAGCCCAGGATCAGGAAGTTAGTGTGCAGACTTATTTGCTGGTCTGAAAGAGCCCAGTCTAGCCCCAGAAATCTGAGTAGATTCAGACCGTGATCATGTAGCCCTGGTTCCTCTCTTCAGTCCCAGTAGACACAGGTGGGCCTTGGTGCCAAAAGCCTCCCCAGGAAAGAAGGCAAACAACAAAATCCTGGGAACATACTACCCCAGAGGACGATCCCATAGATACTGAGATGACCCATTTACACCCCAGGTAAAGGCCTCTATGTTGGCCTCAGTGGGAGAATCACTGATGGGTGGTCCTGAAAAAAGGAGTGACCCCTTCCCCCACCTCCTAGGTTTTCAATGCCCCAAAGCCAAAGTGGACCCAGCTTTCTGGGAGGAAGTTACAGAACTGGGGTAAGTGTCCCTGGCTGGGGGCATGGGTGATTCTGGGATGTGGGCTGGGGCGGAGGACTCAGGTCCAACAGTCTCAAGATGTTGGGAGGGTCCCTGAGGGTTCAAGGGGTCCCAAGGGCCAGGAGGATTCAGTGGAGGTCCTGAGGGTTAGGGATTTCCTGATGAGTTGGGAATATGTTGAAGGGTCCAGTGGCGATCTCCTAAGGGTCAGGGGTCCTTGAGGGGGTCAAAGTGCTTTCAACCACTGGGATATCCCTAATGGGGGCTCCAGGTGCCAAGACTCCTTAATTGGGCGCCCTCAGAACTGCATTGTCCTCCCCAGGTGGGCTCCCCCATCCCCGGGGAATGGTCCCTGAGCGGCTGCCCCCCTGGCTCCAGCGCTACGTGGACAAAGTGTCTGACCTCAGCCTTTTTGGGGGTCTCCCAGCTAACCATGTCCTCGTGAACCAGTATCTGCCTGGAGAGGGCATCATGGTAACCACATGGCCTCACCCCAACCCCCACAGTAACTGCCTCCACTCAGACCTCTGAGCCTTCAGGGAGCAGGGCATCGTGTTTACCCACCCTCACACTCATCAGGCAGCCACATACCCAACCAGGCATCCACCTCCCTGTTCCCAACTTGGGAGCCCCCCTTTAACCCAGAGGGTGGGGGGTGTGGACTCCTGCCCTGCCCAGCCCTGGTGCCCACTCCCTAGCCCCATGAGGATGGACCACTGTACTACCCGACCGTCACCACCATCAGCCTGGGTTCCCACACCATGCTGGACTTCTACAAGCTGCGGCAGCCAGAGGATGATGACCCTACAGAACAGGTGGGCCTTGAGATACTGCCCCAACCACTCATGTGTGCTCTGACATCCCACACCCTCCAAAATAACCCAATCCCCCCTGCCTTTTGGGTACTCCTGACACCCTCCCAGACACCTTCCTTTTTCCGCTCATGGGGTACACCCACTTCTTCCCAGACACCCAACCCATCTGCATGCATGCAGGGTACCCTAAATACCATGATATCCACAGGTACCTCAATACCCCTGCCTGCTGAGTGGATGTCCCTGACACCCCACAGACCTCTAACCCCACACACTCAAGACTTCAACAGCCCAACATGCACATATACCCTCTGTAGGGCTCCCCAATACTCCAACAGACACTCTGATATCAGATACCCCAGTGTCATTCACTCACGGGTGCCCCAACATCCTCCCAGATGCCCTGACTCTCTACCCACTGCACAAGGCACCCCAACACTGACATCCTGCCACTCCAGTAATGTGAACTGTGCTGGAGGACACCTCTAGATTCTCCTTGGCCCCTCAACACATGACTCGCTGCTCAAGGAGGCCCCAGATGTCCTGACAGCAACTTCTCTGACCTTTTTCTCTGAGTGATGCACTTCTGACACCCCAGTGTTCATAGAACTCTCCTGGACACCCTGCCCCTGGCTGTTCCTTGGGGCTTTAGCTCTACCTGCTCCTGGATACTCCACATCCCCTCATACTCTGCTGGTGTCCCCTATAGCCCACTCGCTCTACCCTCTGCCCCTACCCGGTCCCACCTTCAGCCATGCCTGCTCAAGCCCAGCACTGCTCCAGCATCTTGGGGACTACTGATCCTTCAGCCCCTGCCCCAGCCCCTTGGAGATCCCATCTGCAGCTCCCATTTCCAATGATCCTTTGACCCCCCCCCCCATCTACAGCCTAGTTCCTGTCCCCTCGCCCTCCCTGCCCAACAGCTCCCTGCCTGGGGCCTGCCGATTTTCACTCCTCGACCCCCAAACCCTCTATCCCTGGGAACATGCTTGCTCCTCAGCCTTTGCCCCGGGGACTCCCCTGACTCCTGAAGCCTGCTGACCTCTCGCACACCCCCCGACCTCTGGAGACCCGCTGACCATCACCCACCCCGCAGCCTCGGCCCCCACCCCAGCCCACCACCTCGCTGCTGCTGGAACCGTGCAGCCTGCTGGTGCTCCGTGGCGCCGCTTACACACGCCTCCTCCACGGCATCGCCGCCGCCCGGGAAGACACGCTCGACGCCGCCTTCATGCCGCCCAATGCAGCCTCCTGCCCATCGGCGCAGCCCGGAGCCCGCCTGGTCCGCGGAACCCGCGTCTCGCTGACCATCCGACGCGTGCCCCGCGTGCTGCGCGCCGGCCTCCTGCTCAGCAAGTGACCGCCAGGCTTCAGGACTAGCGGGATTCCGGGCTCCTGCCCCCTGGGGCTGCCGCAAGTCTGTGACCTTGGAGCCCTGGGACAGAGACGGCTCCCCTGGGTTATTTATTTTCCCAGTAACTTTGTGGGAACCACAAGAGAAGACCCCATTCCTAATAAACCAAAAATGTCTTTCCTTAGTTTTAGATTTATTTGCGGGGAGGGGGCAGATGCTGGGGTTCCTGGTAGACACAGCATTTGGCACTGTAAGTAGGTGGGGTAGGCCCTGGAGGTCCACCATTTGGGTCATTGAGTGGGGCAGAATCCAGGGCTCTTTAGGGAGGGGGTGGGGGGTTATATCTGGAACCTCCTTGGAATGGGGTGGGGTGATGTTGGGAGGCTTAGCTACTGGTACTGCTAGGGAGGAAGGAGTTAAGTGGCTCTGCTGTCACCTGAGCTGGGCATCGCATCAAATTAACTGGGTCCAGGTTCCTCTTGGAAGGGGTGGAACTAGGTCTGCCTCTGGGCCTCTCCACAGCCTCAGGCCTGGGTGAGTTCAGCTGACTAGGTCTAGGGGAGATATCCTGGCTAGGGAAAAAGCTTTTACTGGGTGTCCTGACCTGACTCTCTGTCCCCAGGCCCTCCAGCTATGGCCTTGTCCCCCCCTCTGAGTCTTAGACTCCCCTCAGAGCCCCTCAACCATCCCCCTGGAACTCCTAGGGAGCCAGACATTGCTGGATGCACCATCTGCCTTGCATCTGGAGAGGAGAGAATCAGGTGGGGGCTGGGGCTTTTGAAATGTGGTCCCAAGAGGGTGGGGGCAGTAGCAGGGGCCATTTGAGGATAGGAAGAGCTGTAGTTATGATGACCTGGGGACATGGGAGACAGCTGGGGGTGGGGTTAGGGTGGGGTGGAAAATGGGGCACTGAGGTTCACCCAGGAGCTTGTCAATGTTCCCTACATCCTAGGCCGGAGCAGGCCCAGAAACTGGGACAGGACTCCTTCGACCCTCCTGAGCATTTCCAGGGTGTCCTGAGGGGCACTGAACCCACTGTCAGTCCCCCAAGATTGTCAACACCCTCTTCCCAGGAGGACCAACCTGGGGACAAACACTGTGAGGTGAGCTGAAGTGACCCAGACTCCTGTGCCAGCCCCTACCTCCTTTCTGTCCCCCAGAATCTGGCCTCCACACTGGGAATGAGGTGATGATTCTGGAAAGGGGCCGAGCATCGGTGAGGGGAGGGACACTCTGGAAAATATTTCTTTACTGATCAGTATAGAAGTATTTCAATATTTCACCAACTGGGAGAGAAGTTTTTCATCATTGGTCCTGGTGCTGTCCCATTCCTCTTGGGGGGCTGCCCAGCTCTATTAGCCCCTCTCTGTCCAGACCCCCAGGCCCCACATATTCAAATTTTCAGGAGGCTTGAGAACCTGGAGACCTTGAATTTAGATGTCCCCAGGCTTGGCTCCAGTGGGAAGATCCCCAGGTGGGAGCATCCCAGGTGCAAACCCAGAGATGGACTCTGCTGTAGAGAAGCATCCAGAAGGCAGGAGCCTACAGAAGAGGGTGGCAATGGCGGGGGGAGGTAATGTCTTGATTGGCCCATTGGCCCTGATTCACCCCCTGTTCCCAGCACTGCATCGCTGGCCTGGAGGTCTTGGAGGCTGAGCAGGACAGCCTGCACCTTTGCCTATTAGGGCTAGGCCTCTGGCTGCAGGACCTGGAGCGACAGCCAGCGCCCTGGGCATTAGCCAGGAGTAGGATGCTCCAACTACAGGTAGGCAGTGGGAAGCCAGGATATCAGAGGGTGGCCAGGGCCCCAGAAGTGGGGCCAGCTTTCTGGGGTGGGAAATGGGTTTATTACATGTTCCAGGTCTCTGGATAGAAAATGGAGGAGGGGATAACTGCAGGTTCTGGGTCTCTGGTGTCCTTGGTGTGTGAGGGGGGTGATGTCCAACCATGTGTACTCAGGCCCTACAGGCAGACCTACAAGGGGCAGCTGAGCACGTGGATGCACTGCTAGCATTCGGTGAAGGGCTGGCCCAGTGGAATGAGCCAAGGGCCTGGGCATTCCTGGAACAGCTCCTAAGGGCCCTTGGAGCCCACCAAGACACCATCTTCCAACGCCTCTGGCAGCTGCAGGCCCAGCTGGTCAGCTACAGCATGGTATGGCCCACCCTGGTGGTCCCTGGCCTAGGCCCGAGTCTCACAACTCCCATGACCTCTGTCCTCTGACCCAGGTGTTTGAGGAGGCCACCACGCTGGACCAGGATTTGGAGATCGAGGGGGACTCAGACAGGCCAGGATCTGGTGAGGTCTGGGGGCCCTGGGCACCCAGTAGCCTCCCCATTCCAGCAGAGTTGGAGTGGGACCCAGCAGGGGACGTTGGGGGCCTCCGGCCTTTGGGGCAGAAGACAGCCCAGACACCAGGGGCTCCCTGTGAACTGTGTGGCCACAGAGGCCCACAGGGCAGGGGAAAAGGCCTTGAGGTGAGAGCAGAACCCCTTGAGGGACCCCCTCCTCAGCACCAGGTACCCACGGGGCACCTTTGTGTGCCTTCTAGCAGGGTCCTTCCTTTTCAATGAGGTCTTGGTGGCTCATCTCTCCCTCTACGTCTCTTTTTATCTCTGTGTCTGCCTTTGTCTCACTGTTTCCCTCTCTCACATCTTTCTCTGTCTACATCCTCAACCCCATTTCCTCTCTCCCTGCCCCCCAGTCTTCACACCATCATGGCACTAGCCTCCTGGCTCTTCTGCAAACACGCCAAATTCACTCCCATCTCAAAGCTCCCTGATGTGTTCCCAGCTCACCTCTTCACTTTATTCCAGCCTCTCCTCAAATGTCACCTCTTCAGAGAAGCCTGCCCTGGCCCTAAAACATTAGCACTCCTTATCTTCTTATTTTATTTCCTAACAGCACTTACCTCAGCTTGACATCCTACATTTATTTATTAATTTATGGTCTCTCTCCTACCAGAATATAAGCTCCATGGAAGCCAGGGTTTTGCCTGTTTACATCCTCACTGTGGCCCAAGCTCCTAGAACAGTGCCTGGCATGTAAAAGACACTCATTAAATATTTGTTGAATGAATGAATAAGTAATATCTCTTCTCTTGGTTTCTTTGGCTGGGCACCTCTCCTGGTGTCTCTTGTGAGATCTCTCTATTTCCCCAGAATCTCATCTCTAAGACACCCGTATCCTTGCCCTTCCCCAACCATGTTTCTCTTTATTGCTGGTTTTCCAAGAACTATATTCCTCTCTCCCCACAGGACATGCTTGTGTTGGGCCTCAGACACCGGAAACGCTTAGCAGGTCACCGAAGACGGTCTCCACTTCAGAAGCCTCAGGTGAGCTGGTCCTCAGCCAAATGTACCATTTGGGAATCTTGATGGCAAGTGACAGAAACCCAACCCAAATTGAAAAGCACAAAAAGGGATACTACTTTTCTCATGTAACTGAAAAGTCCAGGCACTGCTGAATTCAGGACCTCAAATAGTATAAGGGCTCAGTCTCTCCCTCTCTTGGGCTCTACTTCCCCAAGGTGGCTCCTTCTCAGCAAAATGCTGCCCCAACCACTACACACACACTTCCCACTGTTTACCCACCCCAAGGAAAGGAGAGTGACCTACTGGCAGCAGCCAAAGTCCCAGGGCTGCCTTGCACCTGCCCGGCTTGGGTCATGGGCTGTACCCTGAACCAATGGGAGTGGCCAGGTCTGGGTTGGATGCCCACTGATGATGGAAGTGGGGGAGGTGGGGATCAGCCTCACATGAACCTGAAGGTCTAAGTGTGGGAGGCATGACCACTCCCCCTCCCCAGACTGAATCACTACTAACAGAAAAGGGGATTGGATTGGATGGAAGACAGGCACGAAACATACATCCACTACACTTGGAGATATTCCAAGTCCACGTGGGTCCTGGGGACAGTGGGGATGCCAGGAAAGGAGGAGAAATAAGACCAGCCCTGTAGGTATGTAGCAGTAAGGGAAAGTCCACACTAAGTGTCACTTCCATCCATTCTGCTGCTGGCTACTCTGTCCCCTTGGGACAAGAAGAGGCAAGCATCTTCCAGTCTCCAGGATGTGATGCTGGAAGTGGATCCTGGGTGAGATGCCAGGGAGATGGGTCTGGGGTGTGGGGGATAGGGCTCAAGGTGGTAGCCAACCATGTATTTAACACTGTTTTTCCCTTCTCAGGACCCCTGATCCTGCATCCAGGCAGCCCCTCACCTTCCTCCTTATCCTCCTCCTCCTTTTCCTTCTCCTGGTGGGTGCCATGTTGCTCCTGCCCATGTCAGGGGGCCCCTGCTGCTCTCACACCCAACTGGCCAGGACACCATACCTGGTATTCAGCTATGTCAATGGTCTCCCCCCAATCTGAGTACACAGGCCAGACATATGCAATAAATGGTCATTGTCAAAGGATGTGTGAAGACATTGGGTGCTTGAGTACCCAGAATCTAGGCTATGGCCCTGATATGTCTGGATAGACATCTTCACCCTGAGCACAGAACATAAAACTGAATCAGCCCATTTTGTGTTGGGTTTGGGTTCCTCCAGTCCCCAGTGCAAAGATTCAAGCACAAATAGTTTATTTGGGAGATGATACTAGGAAGAGCGGTAGGGGAGTGAGGAAGTAAGCCAGGGAAGGGAGAAAGCCAGTATCAGGTGAGTTAATGAGCTGGTTGTTGTTCTGGATACCTGGGGCGCCATCGAAAGTGTGTCAAACACAGTTCAAAGTTGTTCCACCCAAGACGCGAAGTTGTCGCATCTGTATACCAGCTTCCTTCTCTCATTGTTGAGGACTATTCCTGGAGATAGTAACTCCCTAACACTTCTGGCATATGAAGGTCCCTCCCTCAGGCGAAGAAGCACAGGTGCTTGCCAGAGGAAGCTAGGGATGTGTCTGGGAAGGGTGCAGGTGATGTGGGTGAACTGCCAACAGTATCTGCTGCAGCCCCTGACTTGCATCCACACAGGTGCTCTGTTCAAACATTCCACAAGGTGGGCTCTTGGGCAGGGCCATCATTGGCCCAGGAATATGAAACCTCCCTTCCCAGGGTCTTAACAACACCAGGCTGCATTGTCAGGGCTCAGTCCTGGAGTCGTCTCCCCAGAGCTTCAGGTTTCAGGACAGGAGGGGGAAGCCCTGTGCTGGGCTCCTGGATGTGCACAGATCCCCTCTCCAGTAATTCCCACAATCACCCAATGAGGGGGCTCCACTTAATAGAATGGGAAGCAGGCTCAAAGAGGGGAATTCACTGGCTGAGGCCACACAGGGAGCAAGTGACTGAATGAAGCCCAACCCCCACTGACGTTAAACAGAAATGGGAACTTATTTTTGTGGGTAACTGAGCTGTTTAGGACTCCAGGCACAGCTAGATCCAGGGACCCAAATGATGTCTCCATCTCTCAGTTCTTTCCAGTTTTGGTTTCATTCTTATCCTAGTGGTGGCCAGAGTGCCCCTCAAACCTCCAGGCACACATATGGCAGCCAATAGCAGTCACTTCCCAGGCTAGCTCCACTGGCCTGGGTCACATGCCCCATCCTCATTGGGGCTGCAGTCAACTCAGCCTGAAGGAGGACTGAAAGTGGGCAAGCGATGGGTCTCCAAAGAAGATCAAGTTGCTGTGTACTAGAAGCGGGGAAGAGATACTGAGGGGGTGGGGAAAGCAGCAGATTCTGGGAGAGACTCCAGGTTCAGAGAAAAGTCAGGATGCAAACCTGGTCTGTCCTGTTTCAAATGCCAGGCTAAGTCTGCCCCCAACCAAGGAGAAGGCATGGTCTCCCTGGGATCACCAGCAAATAGGGTGGGCAAGGTCTTGGCAATATTGACCCAACAGAACTGGTAATGGAGCAAATCTGTGTCATTTATTCATTCATTCACTTAAATATTGACTGTCTGCTATGAGCCAGGCCAGTCAAGGAGCAGGGATATGACATAGAACAAGATGGACTAGAATCCTCGTCTCTCTGAAGCTGACATTCCAGTGGGGGAGATCAAAAATAAATAAAATAAATAACAAAATACATAGTAGGTCAGATGGTGATAAGTGCTAAGGAGAAAAATAAAGTAGGCAAAGGGAAAGGGGGTACAGTTTAAATAGGGTGGTTGAAAAAGGCATCAGGGAGACAGCAAAGTCATTATGTTAGATATTATAGCAAATTGCAGTGAGGAAACAAGCCATGTGGACTCACATAACAGCACTGTCCAATAGAAATATAATGCAAGCCACAAATGTAATTTTAAATTTTCTAGTAGAAATGGCCGAAATTTTAATAATTTAATTTATATTCTATTTAACCAATATATCCAAAATATTATCACTTCAATATGCAGTCGATATAAAAATAATGAGATATTTTACAATCCTTTTTTCCTACTAATTCTTTGAAATCTGGTGTGTATTTCACACTTAAGCACATCTCAATTTGGATGCCAAATTTTTAACAGATAAAAATGAAATATAGTCCTACCAAAACAATACAGTTGTGAGGGCCAGTCCATGGCTCACTAGGGAGAGTGTGGTGCTGACAACACCAGGTCAAGGGTTAAGATTCCCTTACTGGTCATCTTTATATAGGGGGAAAAAAACCCCAAAAACAATACAGTTCTGTAACAGAAAAAAATTCACTACTTCAGTTTTTAAATTTAAATTACTTAAAATTTATGAAGTTAAAAATTCAGTTCCTCAGTTGCACTAACCACATTTCAAATGCTCAAGTCACAGGTAGTCCCAGCTATGGTACTGAACAATGCAGACCTTGAGAGAGAGCATGTGCAAAGGCCCTCAGGTAGGAACGCACCTGGCACATGGGAAGGCTAGTGTGGCTTGAAGCGTGAGTGGTGGAGGGGGAGAGTGGGTGAGAGAGGTGATGGGGCCAGATCAGGTGAGACCACAGTGAAGACTAGTCTGAGCAAGATGGGCACCACTGGGGTTTTTTCAGCTTTCATTCTGGTAATTTTTGAACTGGTACAAAAAGGGAAGGAACAGCATTACAAGTCCTTGTGACCTCATCATCAGCTCCAACCATTATCAAGTCAGGGCCAATCTGGTTTCATTCTCCCAGGCACCCACTACCTCTTCCCTAGATTACTTTGAAGCCAACTCTAGATGTCATATCCTTTTTAACCCATTCATGGAGCATCTCCAGAAGATCAGGACTCTGTTTTAAAATCTATTTACAATACTTTTATCACTGTAAAAAAATTCCAGGCATTTCGCCCATATCATTCATACCCAGGATGTTGCTATTCAAGGAAGGGTGCTGAATAGGAGTGATGGGAAATTGTCAGGTATACCGAGTTTCCCAGAGTTCCCAACGGCCCCGCAGAGCCACCTCATGCACTGGTCACTGGCTTAGGTCATTGGGAGAGTTGAGTTTGTGACCCAAGACAAGAACATATTCTAGTAACCTGTGATTCCTAATAGAGTGGAGATTAGCAGCTGCAAGGGACACCAGATGTTATTTTTTCAAAGGCAAAAAAAAAAAAAAGAAATTTTATTTAATTGCAAAATCCGAGAAGCAGCAGCTATGCTTAAGAGTTTAATAAAGTCTGACAAAATTGAAATTTTATTTAATTTTAATTAATTGCAAAATCCGAGAAGCAGCAGCTATGCTTAAGAGTTTAATAAAGTCTGACAAAATTTAGGCTTTCCTTTTATAAAAATGTGCCCTGTGTGTGAGGATCTCTGATTTCCAAAGATAAATAATAACTAGTGAGACAGTGATAGATCGTTGACTTTTTTGGTTTTTGATTTCTGTAACTTTTTGTTTTGTTCCAAATTACCAAAAAATTTTAGGATAGTACAAACTCCCATATACCCTTTACCCAGATTCACCAACTAACATTTTGCTCCATTTTCTTTACTATCCACACTCTCGTTAATATATTTATACATGTGCATATGTTTTGGAACCATTTGGCAGTAAGTTGCAGATGTGATGCCTCTTTACTCCTAAATATTTTCAGTGTGTATCTTAAGAACAAGGCATTCTCTTACACAATTATAGTAGTTATCAGAATTAGAAAACTTAACCACTTAATTCAATTCTATTTTTAACTCATAATCCATATTTCAAATTATTCCAATCCTCATTTTTTTTTTATAGGAACTTTCTTAGATCAGGAGATTCTTGTTTAATAGACAGGGTCAAGGGTCTGAGAAATGTTGACCCTTTACCTTAGGAGAGCAAAAACACAGCAGCAGACACACACAGAGTATCAGCAGAGTACTGGGCACTGTGCCCATCCTTTACGCATAAGCATATTTTGAGTCTAGTACTCAGGTGAGGTGGCTTAACTGGGAGGTAATCCCTGGAGGCAGGAATGAGGGAGTGGGGAAAGTGAGACAGGGCAGGGGGAAAGCCAATAAAGGTGTTCATGGAATGGTAACCACTGTGGGCAACTAGGGCCCAATCCTATGGGGGAGTTCTGAGAAACTCTGTAGGACACATGTTGCAATTGTCCCATCAGACAAGAGGCAGGCCTGGGCACTTGGCCAGTGATTGGTGTCCCCTACAGGCTGAAGGTAGTCCCTGAGGGCATTAACCCATGTCCCAAATTCCCAGAAAGCCCTCAAGCAGAGCAGAAGAGATACAGGGCTCAGGGCAGGAAGCTGGCAGCTGCCTGGCAACCTGCTTCTGCAGTTGCAGTTGAACTCAAGTGGGCAAAAGGGTCATGGTGGGCGTGAGGGAGACATCATCTGCTGACAGTACTTGTATTTAATTCACTATGTCATCATAACAGCCATATGAGCGAGGCACCATTACTATACCCATTTCATTGATAAGGACATTGAGGCACAAAGAGGTTAAATCACTTGCCCACGATTATGTAACTAGTAAGTTTTTGATCTGGGATTCAAACCCTGTCTTCCAGTTCTGGGGTTCATGCTCTTAATCACCACTCACCTGCATACCTCCTCCCTCAAATCAGTCATTCCCCTACTCAACCCTCTCTACCTGGCAAACCCCATCCATTTGTAACACCCAGGGGGAATGTCTCTTTCCTTCTTGACCCAGGATGCCCAGCCTCAGTGGGATCTTGTATGAATGCTGGTCAGAACTCACTCCATTCTAGTGGCGTTTGGAGTTTTGCCTTCAATAGTTACAATCTTTCCCCTGCATAGGTTGCTTAGCAACTGAGGACGGCAGAGGAACAGAATGCTATGCTTGTGTAAGATAAGGGGAATGGGCTGACCTGTAAACTCACTTGGGCGAGTGTAGTGCTGAGAACACCAAGGTCAAGGGTTTGGATCCCCTGACCAGCCAGCTGCCCAAAAAACCCACAAAAAACAAACAAAAAGATAAGAATAATCCAGCAACCCCAAGGATAAGCAACGGAAGGCTGTGAGGCACCTGGGAATCTTCTATTTCTGCAGTCTTTCTTCCTTTCGCACAGCTCCACTTTTGTCCCTAAGTGCCTTATAAGCATCAACTCCTCCCCCGGGGGTTGTGGAGAAAGGATCTGCACAGCACTCAATATTCCCCCAGATCCCTTTAACTCATCCATTAATAATAAGAATAATAAGAATAAGAATAGGATTCAGATCCCCATACTGTCCAGGGGCCAAAATAAATAAATAAATAAATAAATTATAAACTCCTTGTAAATCATATGTAGTGGCCTGCTTCATTCTTCAATCTCAGGGTACCTTCTTAGTGTGGTGGGTATTATACTATTAGCTCACATTCAGACAGATGTGGATCACTGCCTGTAGCCGGCTGGAAGCTCCCATCCTGGAACTTATTAGGGCTCACACTCATGGAGCCAGGAGTGAGGGAGAAATGGGAGATGCAGTTAGAGAAGTAATGGGAGCTGGATGGGTAGGACCCCATTACCCACTTTTAGGACTTCGTCTTTACTCTGAGATGGAGCCAGGGCAGGATTAACTGGATCACCCTGATGAAAAAACAAAACAAAACAAAACTGAGGCTGAGAGAGATGAACAAGGTGGCTAAAGTACCGTGGTGAGTACTAACCAGAAACAAAGCTGAAGCAGAAGCCACATGCAAGTATTGCCACAGCCTTGTGCTCTGGGGCACTCAGGCCCCAGCTGTAACCCTGCATTTCTCCCTTTCATCCTCTCCACACCTTTGTCCACACTGGTCCTCCTGCTTAGAAGCCTATATTCCCACCTTCTGGCAAACTCCTACTTCTTCAAATTTCAATCTCACTTTATAACTATTTAGGGGCCGGCCCATGGCTCACTTGGGAGACTGTGGTGCTGATAACACCAAGGCCATGGGTTTGGATCCCTATATAGGGATGGCCGCTTAGCTCACTTGGGAGAGCATGGTGCTGACAACACCAAGTCAAGGGTTAAGATCCCCTTACTGGTCATCTTTTTTTTAAAAAACAAAAACTATTTGGACACTAGGCTCCTCCATTGGGATTAGGGCAGTGACCATGTTTCTCTTCTGTCCATCCTCCTTTAGTCAGAGGTCTGGACTCCTTTCCTAAGGTCCTCCTCCTCCCCACAACTGCATCTGCAAGAATGCATCAGCTTTTCACTTATTTAACTGACAAGGGGGGCAAATACAGTTCAGGGTTGCAAAATGCAGTACCCCAGACAATGTCTAGGCAGGGCCATATGGGGACATAGGAGAGAGTATGCCCACAGTCTATGGGTCCATCTCCCCTCCCCCACCCCAAGGCCTTGCTGATAAAAATCCCAGCTTGTAGCTGAGGCTGGACTCCTTAGCCAGATTTGAAAAGGATGGAAGCTTCCAGGTTTTGTGAAACACTGAAAAGGGTTTGAGATCCTCACTACTGCCTAAGGGGTTACCAACCAAGCCTCCTCAGCTCCATTTCCTCTCCTGCCTCACTACCCGTCAGTAAGGAGTCAACTGGGGTCTCTTTGAGATACAGCCAGGGTGTGTCTCCTCCATGGATCTGCCCAGGAGAGAGAACTATGCCACTTCAACCAATCTGCCAGTCTCGAGAGGTCCAGAGGGCAAAAGAAAGCTTCCCACATGCATCCCCTCCTAGAGGGTCACTTCGCGTGTGTGTGTATGTGTGTGTGTGTAGGGAGGAGGGCCTCTTCAAAAGTCCCCCAGTTTATAAAATCTTTAAGACCGTCAACAGGGAAGTAAGCGCATTTCCAATTTTATTCCCTTTGTTAAGCCCTTCCTGAGGTGGAAGGGGCACAGGAGCCGGGGTTGCCCCACAGAACCATCAAGTAGGGATCTTGAGGGGTATTTAGTTGACCAGCTGAGGTGAAAGACCCCTTCTCTTCCTCATGGTCCTAGTTTACCACAATTAATAGGGGAAAGGTTTTCCAAGGGGGGATTCCGGGCTTCTCACCATTCATCAGGGCATCTTCCCAAACTCCTCAGCAAAAAGCCTGCTCTTCTCACAGTTAAATACAGAAAAGGACACTCTCCTTGAGGAGCTGGGGTGAGTATGTTCTTAGACGTCAAGAGAAGGGTGTCTCATTCTCTCTGTCCATGTCTTTGGATAAGTAGATCTCAGCTTGACATTGTCCAGCTCGCTGGTGCCCCAGGCACTCCCAAGTCTTTATGGAGGGGTCCGACCTGTCATCATGCATCGGAAAAGGTCAGGAATCTCTCGCGGTCCATCACGGGGCTCTATAGGTCCTCCACGTCGCCAAGAAGACGTTTCCCCAATCGTCGAGCTAGTCTCTCAAGACTTCCCACCTTCTATCAGGCGGGTTCCCTGGTGCCCCCCGCCCCCCACGCAACCAGGCAGGTCCCCCAGTTTCCCTGCGCCATCGAGTGAGCCCTTCTGCATGTCACTGTCCTTCGGACCGGGTCTGCGGTGCCCTTGTACTCCTTGGATCGTCATCGTCGTCAGACGGGATCCCCAGGGTCTCCGTGCCGCCGGGCTCCTCGGTTCTGCCCCGCGGGCGTACGAAAGCGCCCATGGCCGTGGCGTGGCCGGAGCGCAGCAGCTGGAGCTGGCGCCGCCCGCGGCGGTAGAGGTACTCGATGCGTAGCACGTCGGAGCGTGGGAGGCAGGCGTTTTGCCGGAACTCGGCCCGCACCCGTGCCTCGGCGCCCGGCTTCCCGCGCCCGGCGCGCAGCAGCTCGCGGTACAGGCTCAGAACTTGCCTCTGCAGCCGGCTGGGCCGGCTCATGATGGCAGCTGGGCTGTGGGAACACCCAGCAACGGAACAACTCAGCAACCACTTCCGCCACGCGCCTTCCAAAACCTCCGCCTCCTGCCCCCGACTATCCGGCGCCGTCGCCCCCGATTGGCTGTCATTGCAGTTACGTCACAGCGGCCTGCGTGGAGGGCGGGGCCGCTAGTGCACTGGCCCGGCCCGTGGGGAATCGGTGTCTGCGGGGTCTGAAGTTCTGAGGACAGTGGCACCTGGGTCTGGGAGTAGGAGGGAGCTAGGAGCTCGGACTCTTAGTCTTGGGTTGAAGGGAACGGGGGTCCTGACCTAATTCCTGGGTCCTGGGAGAAGGGGTTCGGACGCTTGGGTCTTCAAGGGCGCGGGGTCACAGGGAGAGGGAAGACAGGCACAAGCATGTTTTTGTCATCAGTTATTTAAACCATCTCTGGAAGGTCTGTGCGTTCTCCCCGCCATGGCAGGCCCGTGTCGGGGGTCCCAGCCTTGGGGACGCGCAGAGGGACAAGGTCATTCAGGGAAATGTTGGGTCACGGCCAGTTGGACAAGCTTCTCTGTGCTGTGGGAAAACAAGCAGAGAGAGGGTGTGGGCGCCAAGCCTCCAAAGGTAGCGTGTGGCTCAGGTAGTTGGGCTGGTGGTGGGAAAGTCCTCAACAGCTGTTAGTCCGGCATTCTCTGAACTTGTCGACTAGGCTGGCACCCCGAGTCCTTCCGGGAGCATCAGGTCGTTGGCCGCTATTCCGTTGTAGTCCCCGCAGGCTGCCTGGAGGGGTCATCGTAGCTGTGTCCCTGCTGGCCTCCCCGGGCCCCACCAGCACCCGGACCATCGGGGGACTGCTGGATGATAACCTCGAAGCCCTCGGCCCAGCGTGCAACCACGCCCCCGAACACGTGGGACCGCAGCCGCGTAGGGCGTCCTGGGCGTCAGCTCACCTGCAGAGAGCAGGGGCAGGGAAGGGGAGCTCAGAAACCGCTGTGATATCTGTCCTGTGTATCTCTATCAGAAATGTATATCCAAGTCTTTGCTAGAATAAGATCTGGGATTGGCTTTAAAATCCCCTGTGCGAACAAAAAAAGAGTGGGAGGAAAAGATGAAATCAAGAATGGCAAAATATTTGTAACTGTGATGAACTCATAGTGTTTCATACACTGTTCTTATTTTGTGATGCTTGAAAATTTTTCGTAATAAACACTTTCTTAAAAAGGAGCGTTATAGAAAAAACCGACCACATTTCTCCCACCTGTGTCTTCATCATCTAATAATTGTTTACTGAGCACTTACTATGTGTTCAATTGTGCTCAGGCACAATTCCACGTATCTTAATATTTTATTATTTCTTATTTTATAGGAATTATGACATAGTTTATTAGTATAATAAAGCATGCAATATAATGTGAGGCAACATATTTTAATATATTGCCACCTAATTTACATTATTTTATGTAATACTTTTATTTTTAGTGAGTATTTCAAATAGTTTATTAAACATTTATTTTAATATTTTAAATGATAGTTGCTATTTAATCCTTATGACACTTTACCAAGGTAGATTTTTTTTTTTTGTCTGTTTTGTGACCGGTAAGGGGATCGCAACCCTTGGCTTGATGTCGTCCACACCGCACTCAGCCAGTGAGCGCACCGGCCATCCCTATATAGGATCCGAACCCGTGGCGGGAGCGCCACTGTGCTCCCAGTGCCGCACTCTCCTGAGTGCGCCACAGGGTCGGCCCTACTAAGGTACATTTATAGTACTATCTGCCTCTTACTGATTAGAAAATTGAGGCCTAGAGAAGTAACATTCCTTGCCCAGGTTCGCACAGCTGGTAAACGGCAGGGCCAGTTTGAATCAAGGGAATCTGATTTCAGGACCTGTGTTCTTAACCATTCTCCTATGTATACCACCTCTCCAATATTGTAAAAGTAGCTGCAAGGACGGTCACAGCTTAAACATATTGAGCACTTAGCATATGCCAAGCACTTTACAGGTATCCTCACAGCCACCCTATGTGATGGGTACTACATTTACCACTTTTTATGCATGAGCAAACTGAGGCATAGAGAGAGGTTGAGTCAGTTGACAAGGTTACACTAGATATTTAAGAGACACAAAGTCTTTCAACCCTTTAACCAAAGTCTCTTGCTTAGCTTACCTGCCAGGTTGTGCCAGATATGCTGGCTGTTCTCTCACTGGCCCATCCTCCCACACCTACAGTTAGCCTGGAACCACATAGCTGGATTCCATTTCTCAGCACAGAATTTCAGATTTTGCCCCCTTATAAGTACTATCCATTTTGCCTGGCCAGATTTCAATTCTCCTGCTGCTAGTTTGCTTCCATGTTCCGAGGGGAGCCATGCATCCTCTACCCTGGTATCTCTCCTGGATTTCCAACCCCTCCCTGTCTGGCCACTTCCCATCAGCACTTAAACATCCCTGAGTCTCTACCATCTCAAAATCATAACAATAATGAGCCATTTCTAAGATAGCCCTTGCCCTCTGCCTCTTCCTGGCTCATCTTCATTCTCTCCTTTCTGCATGGACAACTTGTCAAGAGGTGTCTGTGCCTGCTGTCTCCACTTGCTCAAGTCTCACTCCTCAACCCTGTAATCCAGATGCTGCTCCTTTGCTCCCTGGACCTTGTGATTTCTTAAGTCAGCAACGGCCTCCTTGGCCCTAAGTCCAAGGACATTTACTGGGCTATTATATTACACTCATTAGTTGATTTTTCACCACAGCCTTGATCTGAAATGCTCCCTCCTGCTCTCTTCCTGTGCCTAACTTTAGCTCTCAGCTCATTTGTCACCTCCTTCAGAAAGCCTCACCAATCTCCTAAATGGGTGCACTTCCTCTGGCTCCCACCCTGCCAGTGCTTCCCCCATCAAAGTTCTGATCACTCTGGCCTGTGCTTCCCTTATTAAAGACTTAATCACTCAGTAGTTCCCAGGAGTTCAACAGGCCTTGGGTCAAGGTGAGGTAAGTGGGTCCTGAGAAATCGAGGGCCAGGTTTGTGTGGGGTCAGAGGAGATCAGAGCAATGACATTTAGCCAGTGGAGGTCACTGTGAAGTTGGAGGATCACAGGAGAACAGTTCTGTGTTAGAAGGGCATGGGAGGTCAGTGAAGGATCCGTAGGCCCTAGGGATCAATGCCAAATTATGCACAGGTCTTGGCTAGGACTGGGGAAGTCCCTCACCCATATTTCACAATTGGGCCCCACGGCTGCACGGCCATCCCTAAAGCTGACAATCACTGTGGTTTCCCGGCAAGGCAGCCAGGATAGAGCGGGAAGTCAGCAATGACATGGAACCAGCCAAGATCTTGAGGCGTGGAACACACCAGTGTGGCTAGTTCATGGGCACAGGGCATGATAGGCATAGGTGCAAGGCCACTGAAGCCATCAAAGGTGGTAGAGGCTCCCAGGCACTAGGCAGCATGTGGCACCCTCCCTAGCCTTACAGCATGGCACACCCCCATCCAGGATGCAGCCTGCACCCTGTGGATAGGAAAAGGGCCCACACTGAGGCCTTAGCCATACACACACAGCATTCCTGGCAGATGGGAAGGATGGTGCCTCTCCAACCTGCAGAAACAGAGACTCAAAATCTGATCCAAAAAACCATAATGAACAACATCAACAATGAAGTCACATGTGTAACATATATCACAAACAAAGGACTAATTTCCCTAATATCTAAAGAGTTCCTAGAAATCAAAAAGAAAAAGACCAACAACCCAATACTTTAAAAATGGACAGAGACTATTCAGAGTGTTAACAGAAAAGGAAATACTGATGTTTCTTCAGCATTTGAAAAGATGCTTAACTTTCTAATAAGACAAGTACAAATTAAAAGTCCACTGAGATTTTTTTTTCACCCAGGAGATGGGCAAAAATAAAAAAGTTTGATAAGTTTCCCCAATTGCCCACAAAATACCTCCTATAACTGTTCATTTCAAAACAGGATCCAGTCAAGGTTTGAATTGAACTCGACTGGTGTTTTTTTTTTTTTCCTTTTTGTCTTTTTTCATGACCGGTAACGGGATCGCAACCCTCGGTGTCGCGCCCGCACCATGCTCAGCCAGTGAGCTGACCGGTCTCCACATGGGATCCAAACCCTAGGCGGGAGCGCTGCTGTGCTCCCAAGTGCCGCACTCAACTGAGTGCGCCACCGGGCCGGCCCTCGACTGGTGTTTTTAAAGTCTCTTTTAATCTAGGACAGTCACTCTGCTTGTTGTGGTGTTTGAAAACTCTAAGAACTCTCTGAAGAGAAAGGCCTGGGAATTCAATGCTGGAATCAATAATATCAATAGGAAGCTCAATGAGAGTATCAGTGGATGGTGGGGGAGCTCAATGGGAAGACCCACTGGGGGACAAATGGGACATTAACAGACCAGTCAATGGATTACTGTGGAGGTCAACAGACTGCTTTGTACAGATCAACTTGGGGGAGGGTCAACAATATAGTAAATAGGGTCAATGGACATGTAATATAACAGTAGTAGGATCAGTTGGGGGGCAGTGGATCACTCTGAATTATGGAATGCTCAGTGAATGGGGGGATCGATGGGGAAATCAGGGCTGAGCCTGTGTGTTAAAGGTGATCCAATTAGGGAGTAAATAGGATGATCACTGAGGACTCAATGGAGAGTCAATGGGAGGGTAATTGGAGTCCCAATGTAGTTAATAATGACAAGTGGAGGGTCAGTGGGGAGGGGTCAATAAGCAAGTCAATGGGGGTCAGTAACCATCGGTGGGGGATGAATTGGGCCACTAGGAGATCGAAGTGGACATCTTTGAAGGCTGAGGAGAGTTAATAAATGTGGCATCAGTTGGAAAAGAGGGATCACTATGAGTTACCTGGGAGTACTGCGGACACTGAGGAATAGTGAGTCAGTGTGGGGCTTCTGGAGCCTCATGTGGATGTAGTCGAGGTCTTTCCCGCTTGACTCACATCACAGACCACAGGCTGTGAGGGTCAGGACCTTGGTGCAACCACGTGGCCGCAGAA